GTGTGTGTGTCGTGGCGGTGGGGGGGGTGGGGCAAAGGCTCTTTCACTTGTCCAGCATCGCCTAACAGAGCTGGCTTACAACACTGTGGTGATTCACTCTCACAGAGTCCACCTGAGTCAGTTTTTTGGCATTTTACCTTCTCAGACTCCGCCTTTCGGAACTGTTGGATCTCACCGCTTTTAACACACTCTTTTGTTTAATAAACTTCAAGGGGAGAATATTCCCTATCTGATGCTAGACAGGGACCTGAACATAACCCGCTTGGTTGCCAAATTTCTATCTAGTGTATTTTCCTTTAGTAAATCACGTGTTGTTCTTTTAGTCATTGCTCAAGACCCTCTGATCATAGGATCTCTGAAAAAGAAAGTAAGGAAGGAAACTTTGTGAGGCATCTCCAGGGGGCAGATCAGGAATGACCAGAGAGTTTGCTCCAAGAGAGCTCTTCCTGCACAACCCTAGAGGGGTGTTCAGTGAGCATACCTCACACTCTCATCGTGCAAGCATCACAAACAAGCGTGTGCGCTCTTGCAGTGCACAGAGCTTCCTCGGCCGCCATCAGGGTGCTGCAGGATCAGGTCAAGGGTTCCTCCAGATGAGCAATCTACCTGTAGCCCAAGATGAGGGGAAAACATTAAATCTGGCTAGCATAAAGGCTCTGCGTTGCAGCGGGATCACCAGGTTAGAGAAGTATTGTGCCATACTATTTGGTACGTATCTAAGGCCGAGGGAAAGGGGGGGGAGCAAGTACCCCCGGCACCGGCCTGGATTATTTGGGCTTCGATGTCCCAAATTCTTCTATTACGCTGCCCCCTTCACTCACATCTTCGATTACTTTGGATTAAGCACTTACTGTCTAGAATTAACTCTGACAACGCAATTAGGTACCTTCTAGCTGATAAATCACCAGACATTAATGCACAGATTGCTGAATTCTTGTCCAAGATTTTGGCAGCAATGAATCTTTTTTAAGAAGAAGAAGAGATTGGATATATACCCTGCCCTTCACTACCCAAAGGTGTCTCAGAGCAGCTTACAAACTCCTTTCCCTTCCCCTCCCCACAACAGGCACCCTGTGAGGTAGGTGGGGCTGAGAGAGCTCCGACAGAAACGGCTCTTTTTCAAGAACAGCTCTTATCAGAACTATGGCTTGCCCAAGGTCATCCAGCCAGGTGCAAGTGGAGGAGTGGGGAATCAAACCCAGTTCTCCCAGATTAGAGTCCGCGCACTTAACCACTACACCAAACTGGCTTTAATAGTAACATGTTTTAAGACTTGCAGGTGTAACGTTACCTGATGAAGTTTTATTTTTACCGTTTTATATGCCAATACAGGTGTTGTATTGTATTGTATTGTCAAGGGTTCCTCTGGTCCAGAATCCTGTTCCCCCTGCAGAGGCCAACGATATGCCTCCGGGAAGCCCCTCAGCTAGGGACACACAGGCTGCAGCCTCCCCCTCCCATCAGCAGTGGGAATTCAGAGGCCAACTGCCTCGCACCATGGAGGTTCAACTTTGCCATCTGGGCTAACGGAGTCATGAGTTGGTCTAATTCCATTTTTAAAGGAAAGGTGCAGAAAGCATGACCCTAAAGTAGAGCCAGGTCGATAATAATCCTCGGGAAAGAGACACTGCAGTGGGCCTCAGTCTCCAGTGTTGTTCCAGTGTGGGATCCTAAAGATCGCGGCCGGCTTTTCTTTCCAGTTTGGTGTAGTGGTGAAGTGCGCGGACTCTAATCTGGGAGAACCGGGTTTGATTCCCCACTCCTCCACTTGCACCTGCTGGATGATCTTGGGCAAGCCGTAGCTCTGATAAGAGCTGTTCTTGAAAAAGAGCAGTTACTGTCAGAGCTCTCTCAGCCCCACCTACCTCACAGGGTGTCTGTTGTGGGGAGGGGAAGGGAAGGGAAAGGAGTTTGTAAGCTGCTCTGAGACACCTTTGGGTAGCGAAGGGCGGGGTATAAATCCAATCTCTTCTTCTTTCCCACCCCCGCTCGAACTGGGGGAGGAGTTGCCTACGGCAGATTCCAGGAAGGGCTGTGCTACCTCACTGCACGTATTGGAGCTAATTCTTATAGTAATGCATTTAATTTTTTTTTAAAAATGCAGCAGTGGCAGAAGTGGGGGGGGGGGGGAAGGAAAAAAAAAAAAATA